TACTTTCATTTTTCATATATTTATCAAGCCATTTTTATTTTTATAGTTATTGCCATTTGCATTTCTCTATTTGGTAGGTACAAGTGATGATTTCTTTATCCCTTTTTAGTGGGTCAGAATAAAGAATTTTGATTTTCTACAATTGCATAATAGAAATTTATTTTCTGTAATAATATCTAATAAACTCTTGTTTTACTGCTTTAAGCAAGTATTTTCAATTTGTACAGTTAATATTTCTTTTAGAAAAATGATTGAAAATCCACCTATGATCGATTGATTTGGCGTCTCTACAATAGGAACCTAAAAGGTTAAATCGTCCGTCTATATTTTAGAGGTCAAATTAGGTTTTAGAGCGACTGCATGTCAAAAGCATTAAATGCCCGCCAACTTAGGATTGATAGAGTGATACCTAGGAGAAGACCTCAGTCTTGAGAATTAAGTCACGTGTTACTTCATCCAATAGTTATTATTTATTTTCTACTGTTATAAAAGCTCACACATTGTATCATTTGAAAATAACGAAACTTTAGATTCTTAAAGCTATAAGTTTGCTCTCAATTTATTTCACTTCACACCCTTTCGGATTCGACATCTTTTGTAATACTTTTGGGTTTTTCTTTACATACATAGGAGGGTTTTAATGTTTCTCATTTAGTGGAAGATATGAAAATCAAGGGTTCCCAAAAAAAAAGTTCAAATGTTTAGTTTTGATCTAGTTTTACTGGTTTTGAGGAAAATTCTTCATCACGATTGATTTGGTTCAATACTGGTGCAATTCAAGGATTCTAAGAAAAATGTTTGCCCCTGCTCTTCTTCAGAAGTAAATTGAATTTGAAAAATGATGAATTTTTGTTCTCTTCAAATTTGAGTACAATTTAAATAGTTCAAAGAAAAATATCTGCATGAGTTTGGGTGAAGGTAAAACGGGTAAATGGCTAATAATATTTGTATGATAACTCTTATCGTTTTATTCTTGAAATAAAAATAAAGAGATTAGATATATTTTGTTTATTTCGATATATTGTAGTATGTTGTTTCTTTTGCATGTCGTTTAAGATGATTATTGCAAATGAATGCAATTTCTTTTCAAAATGGAAAAGGAAAATGAAAAGAAAAGAAAGGAAATAATTGAAAGCAATTGATTCATGGCTCAATGATAGCTTCACGTTTTTATCACTTCAACCTAACATCGCACTTTTTGGCTACACGATTTTATCCACATACGATATATAGAAATTCTTTCACTCTCCCCTCTCCAAGCCAAAAGAAAATGTTTCTAACCTCTGCTTCAATCCCCCAAATCAAATCGTTCTCCCTTACAACCCCATTCCTCCATGGCTCCGTCCCCTGCACCCACATCTTCAAACCTTCCCCCGCCTCACCGCCGCCCCCGCCTCCATTCCTCCCAATGATCAAAGCGATGAGGACCCTTCAAGGCAAGGTTGTATGCTCCACCAACGACAAGACGGTGGCCGTGGAGGTTGTGCGCCTTGCTCCACACCCAAAGTACAAGCGCCGGGTTAGAATCAAGAAGAAGTACCAAGCCCATGACCCATTGAACCAATTCCAAGTTGGGGATATTGTTCAGCTGGAAAAAAGCATGCCCATTAGCAAGAACAAGAGTTTTTTGGCGATTCCTGTTCCCAGTCGAAACTCACGGAAGGTGAAGGAGAATTCGCCGGAACAAGAGCTTGGGCTTCCACTGGAATCTGAACAGCCGGTGAGTTGAAGAAAGAAAGAGAGACGATTGGACTCAATTGGAATTACTTTTATGATGATTTTATTGTGTTGTAATTGAATAATTGAGAATATTCTCTGGCAAATTGAGGGCTAATTATGTGTTTAACTGGAATTAAGTTGCAATTCAAGAACTGTGGTCTTTCTTTTATTTCGTTGATAGCTTGTTTGCTAAGATAGAACTATAGAAGACGAAACAAGCATGTGATTGAGTTCATCAACTATCTAGTTTGAACCAGTTCATTTGGGTTGAAATTGTTCTTAAATGTTTGATTTTTGATTGTGTCGAAGCTTTTAGTCGATAACATGGTACTAACGTCGGGCAAAAGACTTGAGAGCTTGGAGCGGTGTCATTAATTTGTGAAAATTTGTACGTGCATTTGCAGATGGTTGTGCTGAATTAAGATTTTAGAGTGCGTTCGATGGAGATTAAAATTAGATTTTTAGTGAATTTCGATAGAGATTTTTGAAATGTGATTGAAATGTCCGGGTACTGATAGGGCTAATATCGAATGTTTGATATTGACTTGAATTAAAATTTAATTCGAACCAAACAGAGACTTATACAAGTAGATATAAACCGTCCCTATAATTAACAGACGCGGTTAAACAAGTCAAAATATAGTAAGAACCTCCCGTTTAAAGTGATCTTTGCAGCTAAAACTGCTTAGGCTACCCAGTAATATTTTTCGAGTTGCCCTAAAATTTAGGGAAAATTGCGGTCATGGTCTCAAATCTTTTATTTTTGCGGTCGAAGTCCTAAACCTTTATATGTAGTTGCAGCGTCAGTCCCAAGTCTTTAATTTCGACCATAAAACCGTCAGTCAACGTTTCAACGGTAATTATGACTCTAAAAAATTGCAGCGCTGGTCCCAAACCTTTTATTTTGATGAAGA